GGATATTATCTGGTCAAATTCCTCCTCATTATAACTTTGTTGCGGAAATAGAATTTCAAAGATGTTTAATTATTATAAAAAAGATTAAATTCTAAAAAATATTTGTGTATATTTTGTAAAATGTTTTACATTAAATTTATTTACATAATTTAAATTTATTACATTAACAAATAATATTAACATACATTAAATATTTTAATTACATGAATAAAAAGAAGAAGACTACATCTATAACTCTTAAAAATAGTAATAATGACATTATATTAGAATACATTTTATAATAAAATAATAACTGAATATACGAGGAACAAGATTAAGTAATATTGTTAATTTTCTTATATCAATGAATAAAAATAAATACTGAAATCAAATTTATACTATTATAAACGTGTGAGCAGAATAATATATTAATTAATTTACGGGCTAGCGCTACCAGGCTCAGATTTAACGTCCCGACAAACAAAATGACGTTGATGAAAAGAGGTAAAAGATAGGTTTAATGTCCCGACCAAAAAAATAACATTGATGAAATGAGGTAAAAAATAGATGATCAAACTCTATTATTTTTTAGGCCTGAACGGACAAGCCCAGTGGCCCACTTATTTAATATCTCCCATAAATCGCACGAGCTACTTAACGGACAAGCTTTATAGAAATGACTTATCTAATATTTCTATCCCGTGCATCGCACGGGCTACGTACTAGTTAGTTAAAAATATCATTAAGTCAAATCATAACCATATATTTATTTGCATCTCAATCACCCACATTATGTCACATCATGTTGTAATTGAATGTCGTACAAAAAAGTTGTACAAGTAGCTTTTTCCAAATTTTATTTACAACCTCACAAATTTTTTTACACTATAATCTAATATTAGTACAATACTCGCACTACGCGGGTGCTTGTTAAAAATAATCTTAAATTTTAAAATCAATAAGAAAAGGTATTTTAGAATTAAAATATTTTTTTATAAAAATATATATTATTATATTTTTTAGAATGACACTTGTTAATTATGCGACTTACATGTGATATAGTATAATAATTTTTTTAAATTTTACCATATAACTAATTTAAACATAAATATATTAATCGATAAATAATTTTATTTTTCTAATTAATATTATATTTGATTATTGTTATAAAGACAAATAAAATTTATTTATTTTATACAATAATATAGATGTCAAATCGAAGCTCATCAAAAGATGATTAATTGGATATTATATATATATATATATATAACCGATAAGAAATACAGAAGTTATCAACTTTTAAAATACACTTGCAATTCAATGGTTAGAGTATGAAATGATATTAAAATACAATTAATACATCTAAACTGACCATAAAAAACAATTAATACACCCGGACTCCTTCAACTCGGACGGTCTCCGTACCTGCAAGAACTCAACGCCGGGAGGGGTCCCCGATGCCTAAGTCATTACTCGCCAGAGATAAAGAGTGCAATACGAGAGTATAGTAATGAATGTAGAGATAATGTGTTTTAGGGATATCTTAGGCCTCTTTTATAGGGGAAGTGTACCTTAGTGCCCAATTAGGCTTTACCAATACTATTATGACATGTGTCATAACTCATGTGTAGGTTTATTCCCCAGTATATTTCTTCTTATCTATTAAAACCGGTCTGTTATGATATTCCTTATCTTCTAGTCCCCCCTTACTCTGGTCGAGTGAGCATAACTCGATCTAAGAGTGAAATGTGTCTTCTGGTTGTTTCCGTCAACCTACCACTGAGGCTATAATTTGAATAAATCCTCGACCACCAAACAATTTCCAAACGAACGTCGCATGATCCGCAGGACTTCCTAATAATCTGAATAACCATCAAATGAATCTAATGACCACCAAATATCCTCAGTGACCACCGAATAACCTCCAAATGAGCACCGAGGGACCTAAATGACCTCTGAATGGCATCCGAATGAGCACTAAAAGACATGTGAACAAGGTAGAAAATTGAATGTCCCGCCAAATATGGTTGAAAACCGAATGATTGTCGATGAGGTAGAAAACCGAATGATCTGCCACTGAGGTCGAGAACCGAATGACCTTCTGATGAGGTCAAAAACTGAATGACCTGACGCCACCTTTAGGTCGAAAACTGAATGACTGTCGATGGAGTAGAAAATTGAATGCCTGCTGTAGACATCAAAATTTTAATATTTTATTAATTAATATCTATTTATTTTGGGACATAAATTCAAGATAAATAAGATATTTAATTAGTAAAGTAAATATTTCTTACCCACCAAGTCAAATCTTAGGATAAGAAAGAATCTTAGGATAAGGACCAACCAAATTGATGTCTTCTTCTCCAAGACTCTCCCTCCTACACCTATAAATAGGGCTCTTCTCAATGCCACAAATCACACCTCAAAAAATCCAACAACTCATAAATAAAAGTCTCAATTCAAAGAGCTCTCAATCATTCTCTTGAAGATTCAAAGGTGTTTTTGAAGATCCACGACATTCAAGTTAAAGATTCAAGAAGAGAAGAATCAGAGGAGATAAATAGAGATTGTACCCGCAACATCGTTTGATTGAAATAAAATCAAGTTGTACAAAAGTTTTATGTTTTCATAAAAAAATTGAAGTTACATATTTGGCACGCCCAGTGAGACTTCAAATAAAATTCATTGATACAAATTTATAACAATGAATTTTACTTCGAGGCCCACTGGGCGTGCCAAATTTGTAACAACAAATTTTATGAAAACATAAAACTTTTGTACAACTTGAATATATATGGATCAAACGATATGCGGGTACAATCTCTATATGTAACTCTCTGATTCTTCTCTTCTTGGATCTTTAACATGAATGTCGTGGATCTTCAAGAACACTTTTGGATCTTCAAGAGAATTATTGAGAGCTTTTTTAATTGAGACTTTGATTTATGAGGTATTGGTTTTTTTGAGGTGTTGGTTTTTTTGACATTGAGGAGAGCCCTATTTATAGGTGTAGGAGATAGAGTCTTGGAGAAGAAGACATCAATTTGATTGGTCCTTCTTGATTTGATATAATCTCTTTCCTTATCCTAGGATTTAATATAATCTCTTTCTTAATCTTAAGATTTGACTTGGTGGACAAGAAATAATAATATTATTAATTATATATCTTATTTATCATGGATTTATGTCCAAAAAATAAATAAAGACATTAATTAATAAAATATTAAAATTTCAATATCTACAAATGCCCCCTTGAAACTTGTTCACGGACAAAATGTCTTGTTAGTGAATGAGTCTCAAAATTTTGAATTTGGTTTGGACATGCAGATAGTTTAAACTCTTATCTAGGAGTTCTTTTGTTGGGGCGCAGCAGAACTAGAAGTGAGAGTTCAAAGCGTACCGTTTTTAATTTTTCCGGACTCAACGGATCGTTCACCGACCATATCGGATCATCCCGAATCAGCTGGACCGCTCCTGCACCGCCCCTGGACTGCCTGGAGTGAGCTGGACCAGTTTTGGGCAAGCTGGGCCGGTCTGGAAGGCTATCCACGCGTTGGGCCGCATCTTAGAACTCGCTGGGCTTGCTAGATCGCGAACTAGGCCACACATGCGCTTCTTGGGCCACTGGGAGGTGGGCTGAAGCAGGCAGGCTGGACGCGGGCCGATGTGGGCTCTCACACAGGCCAGGACTGAGAGGAAACGCGGGCTGGCTTCAGGCTCCGCGCGGGCTTCGCGGGCTGACTCTGTGAGACACTGCCGGCCACACGCGGACTGATGCGGCCCGCGTTTCTTCTCCTTCATGCTGGGCTGTCTCACGTTGTTGGGCCTCCTCCGCGTGGGCTTCCTCCATCCAAGTTGCTTGCACAACAAACTTCTCCACGCGGGCTGATGCGGCTGGACTCCTAGGCCTGCGATCTGGACCACTCCTCTAATGCCTGGGCTGCGCATGGATTTCGTCAGCCGGACAGCGGTGGCGCATGACGACGCTTGTAACCCCAGCACTGGCGCGTCCGGCGGCGGCTGGTCGCCAGAATCTGACCGGAGGGTCGCCGGTCGTCGTGGGATGGTTGCTGAATAATTCCAATACATCCGATTTGCATAATCCTGTCTTTTCTTGAAGAACGGACAACCCCGCGAAATACAAATAAATTACAGGGTTGAATATATATATATATATATATATCGCTCGGCAACCTTAGATCTTCTGCTGTATGACCGGAAATCTCATCCGATCATCTTGGCAGGCGATAGATTAGAGACATTTCAACTGGGATTACTTAGAGAAGAGGAAGAGAACATAAGAGAGAGAACACAAGTAAGGCGACGTGTATTCTCGATCTCACGTGTGTTCCCATCGTGCAAGACTTCTGTCCTAATCCCAAGAGATGTGATGTATTTAAAACCTAAGTGCAGCAGAAATAGAAGCGAGGGTTCAAAGCGTACCGTTTTTAATTTTTTCGAGACTCACCGGATTGTTCACCGACCATATCGGATCGTCCCGAATCAGCTGGACCGCTCCTGGACTGCCCCTGGACCGCCTGGAGTGAGCTGGACCGGTTCTGAGCACGTTGGGCCGGTCTGGAAGGCTGTCCGCGCGTTGGGTCGCGTTTGGGAACTCGTTAGGCTTGTTGGGAGGTAGGCTGAAGCAAGCGGGCTGGACGCAGGTAGGGGTGAGCATCGGTGCGGTTCGGTGAAAAACCGCACCGAACCGCAAAAACCGAAAACCAAAAATTTTAAACTATCCAAACCGAACCGCACCGATTTTGAAGAAAAAACCGCACCAAAAACTTCGTTCGGTGCGGTTATAACCGAAAAAAAAAAATTAAGAAAATAAAGAAACAGCATGTATTAAATCTAACAACATAATAAGTCCATAATCCATATACAACCTCAGCCCATAAGTCCATAATCCATTACAAAGTAAAAAACAACCCTCAACCCATAAGTCCAACAACATAACATATTAAATCCAGCAACATAAGTCATAACATATTACATAGCATTAAGTCCAGAAAAAACAAATGAACAATAATATAAGTCTAGGTTGTCCAGCAATATGAATATCCATAACCATATGCACTCAAGTCAACAATATAAAAAAAACCCTTGCGTTCACCCAAAACAACAAACAGAGAAGAATAAATAGAACGGAAGCAGAGCAGGCTTCCCTCCAAACTCCAGTGGAACAAAAAATCCCTCCAGACTCCAGTGTCCTGCATTAAAATCAGCAACAGAGAAGGTAAATAGAACATTGTTGACGGTCGTTTCCGGTCAATGGTTAAAAAAGACAAATAGCAAAAAAGTAATGAGAAAAGATGAAGGAATACGGTATAAATGTGATTTTATTAGCGGATCACGAGGTCGGCCTCTCGTACGAGGTCGGCACTTGCGATATACTTACAAATTCTTACACGAGTTCCTTACAAGTCTAGAGAGAGAAATATAGAGAGAGCTTTTACAGTTGGGATTCAACAACCCAAAATAAATGAGATGGGTTGCTATTTATAGTGGCCTTAAATGTGACACTGTTCAGGCACTGTTCACCAGTCTTGTCGTACAGTGTTCTTGCAGAGTTGTTCGGCGCCTCCCTGACAGAATTTAATGCGATTTGAGGTTTTCCTCATCATTGTCTGACAGGCATTTAATGCTGACAGGCTTTATGTCTTGGCTAGGGGAAGTAGGCCAGCGAGCTAAGATGTCCCATCCAATAACCAATAATTACCCTCCAAGTGGCATTATTATACTATTATCGAGATCGGCATTCCTCATTGTGGAGGCCCGTTCTGAGACCCCAAGCCGGCACCTTATCTTCGTTTGTTCCTCCAGTTCCGGGGAGCCTTTCCTCCAGCTCGTCACTCTTCAGACCGGCACCGGGGCTTCATGGTTGTAAACGCCGAACTAACGGACGGACTCATGGGAACGTCAGAGTCAAAAAGTTTTTCGGTCCAGCTCGGAACTTTCTCACTGGACCGGGTCTTCGGTTTGGCTCTCGAACTCGGGTGTCAACATACAGGCCCCCGAGCTCAGAGGGGGTGCCTTCGGTACCCTCTGTGAGGTCGTCATTTAGGAATTCATCCGAGGTCGGCGTGTAGCTACCACTTCGTAAAATGATCTCCCATTTATTGCGCATATCCTTCCCAGACCCGAAACGAAGGGTCATTTAATGCGTCGTGACCGTTACGCTTCCTGCCGATCATGAAAAGTCGCGCCGGTTCAGAGCCTTTACACGTGTCGTTCGTCAATTTGTCCGCGTCAAACGGCGTGTCGTTTCAGCGAAATGGCGACTTTTGGGGCGCGTGACACGCACGTGGCCGTTCACGAATCGTTAGATCATTTCTCTTCCGACCGTTGGATCGCGTAATAATTTTTGAATTTTAAATGATGTGCCACGTGTGATGCTGTGGTTGGCCCTCCGCGTATATATATACGGGTCATCGTCCTCCTCGAAGGGTTTTCTACTTCTGCGATTTCCGAGCAACCTATCTCCGAGCAATCAAATTTCCGAGCAAGAGTTGATAGTTGATTTGGAGATTTCTCGAACCTATAAGCAATTCTCTCGCCGGTAATTCTACCTTTCCTCTGACTATTTTTCTTGTTTAATTATGTCGAACCCCTCTGGTAATGTGATGAACCTCCCCGCCGGTGACGGCGGTTTCACGGCGGAGGAGACCGGGGAGTTGGTGGTCTACTCTCCCCCGGCGACTGGGGCGGTGCAGCCGCTCAGAGTTACTCCAATTTCTGCCGTCCGCGTGACGTCGGTGTCGGCGGCGACGGGGTCGCTCCGCGGGGAATGTTCGGCCTTCCCCACGATCGAGATAATTGACCTCGGGTCAGGCCAGTCCGACGCCGAGGAGGTCGAGAAGGAGACCGGCTCCACCTCTCCCGTCGAATCTGACGTAGACGCCGAGCTGGTCGAAGAGACTCTTCGGGGCGACACCCGTGGGTGAGAGCGGGTCCCTATGGCTCGTGAGGACACCGAAATTGACGCCGCAGTTGAGGCCGCCACCACGGCTCCTTCGGGGTGTTGGTGCCGTCCTCCGTGGGTGTGGCCATCCACCGCCTCGGCTACTGCCTGGACAACCCCCTCAGTGCTGACGGACCTCGATCTGGCCAAGTTGAGGGGCAAGGCCTGCTTTGGCGCCGGGGTGAGGATTTTCGCCCCTTATGCAGGCGAGCGTATACACTGCCCTCTGCCGGGTTACATCGGTGTTTATCGGTCAAGCATCTTGCTCGGCCTCAGATTTCCATTACCGGGGGCCCTGAACGACATCCTCTGCGACCTCGGCATCGGCATTAGCCAGCTCGTGCCGACGGTTTTCGCTCGGCTTGTCGGCCTCATCGTTCTGTTTCGACAACAAGGGTGGGCGGATCCGACGAGTGCCGATGTTGGATCCTTGTTCGTTTTCAAGAAATTCGGGGAGACCGGCAACTATTAAAGCTCGGTCGCCCCGGGCGTGGATAAGTCATTAATCCACAAAATCCCAGAATCTCTGCACGGCTATATGCCGGAGTGGTTCTGGGTCGGCGGCGAGTGGAGGACGCCCGACGCAGCCTGGCACCCATCCACTGAGTTCATTTCAGGCCCTTGTAAGTGCCTTTTTATTCCACTTCCTATCTTCTGATTTATCGTTTTTCCATGCTAACAGGTCGGTGTTTGCGTTTCAGTCCATAACCCTTGCGTCGAGCTGGGTGACGAGCTGATTACGAAGGTCGAAACCTTGCTGGGACTTCATGAGGATAAACGCCTCTACAAAGACCTTGTCGCAGAGAAAAGTTTGGTCCTGCACAACCTTTGTCCGGAGTATAACAGCAAGTCCTTCGAGCCCGGTATTTCTTCATTCCTCTGCCTGTATGTACAAGCTTTTCCTGATTCCACTAGTTCTTAGTTGACTCTACTTTTCTCGGCAGTGTATTATCCCCTCCTTCGTGAGTGTGGATTTAGCTCGGTCAAAGAAGCAAACAAATACGCCCGCGCCAACCCGAATCCGCTCAAGGGACGAAAGATGGCCAGCCGCATGGACTTCCTGACGAGGCAGTCGAAGAGGAAGGCCCCGGCGTTAAGCTCGGCGGGGACCTCAGACCCTGCTCTACCGAAACCGGTCTCTAAGGCCGCCCTTCCCCGAGAGGCCGAGGTGCCTGCCGGCTCGGCCCCGGCTGTCCCCGCCCCCGCTCCTGCAGGCGGACGAGAGAGCCGGGCTAGTGCCCATGAGGTCGGCGCCGGTCNCGGAGGATGAAGCCGAGGTGCGGGATAATGCCCCGCCGTCCCCGAAGAAGAAGAAGGTAACCGAGGTCGCGGGGGCCGCCACTGCGAGTGAGAGGTCGGCCTTCGTCCATCAGGCCGGCTCCTCGACCTACATACCGGTGAATCCGAGCCGCAAGGCCAGCCTCTCCAAGAGCCTTGAGCGATTCCCCGACCAGTGGTTCATCGATTCGGCGCCGGCGGTTTCGCTCGACTTGCCCAACCCCTACCGCCTGCCTGGGGAGGTGATGTCCGCGGCGCAGGCCGTGATGGCCTCTTGGACCTCGACTGCCGAGACAACGGTGGCTATGCTCTCGCCGACGCAGCTCATTCAACACTCGGTGGCGTCCATGGGCCGGACCATGGTCGAGCTGATCCACGCCGCCGTGGCGATGCAGAGGGAGATCGACGCTCGTGACAGGGCTGAGGAGGATCTGGCCATCTCCAAGGGTCGAATCAACGAGCTGAAGGACGAGACCAAAAGGATCTCGACCCTGGAGAATGAGTTGGTCCTCCAGCGCGGAGCTGTCGCCATGGCGGAGAAGGCGGCCGCCAGGGCCGTCGAGGATTTGACCCGCGAGAGGGCGGCGTGGGCCCAGAAGATGGAGGAAATGGAGATGAGGCGGGCCGTCGAGCTGTCGGAGAGCGAGAAGCGCCGTGCTGACGAGATTCACGGGCTGGAGGAAAAGCACAAAGCCGACCTCGCCCATCTCGCCGAACTGCATGCTGCCGAGGTCGCCGTGCTCAAGAAGAAGCACGAGGAGCAGGTCTCAGAGCTGGCTGACTAGGGCAAGAGGCTGACCTCCCAGGTCTGCCTTCTGAAGGAGGCCGCCAAGCAGATAGATGGCGAGCCCATTGCTCTTCCTCCTCCTGCGACTTTCGCCAAGGTCCAGGCCCAGTACTTTGAGGAGATGCGAGAGAGCATGGACATCTCGGCGGTGTTCAACCTTTATTAGTTGTTCCAGCGACTTGACGTCGGGGTGCTCTCCCTCGAAGATTTTAGGGCTATCCTCTCGGCAAAGGCGGGTCGGTACGATCTGGACTTTGAAGGCCAGATTTGTGAGGTCAACGCCGACGAGGCCGCGGTGGTTCGGAAGCTCCGGGGCTGGGACGACGACATCATCGTCGGTTTTGAGAAGTTCGGCGCCGTTCCGTCCTTCCAGACGTGGCGGTTGGCCCCCGGGGAGCTTCTTCCGGGCTACAAGCCGTTCGCACCCGAGGCCGAAGAGTCCCAGCCGAGGCGCGGGGCCGTGCTGAACGTGGTTGCCGAGATGGAGGCAGCGGAAGAGGCCGCGGCCGCGGCGAGGGCGCTGGCGGACGCCGAGGCGGGGGTCGGCACCTCGGGGACCAAAGAGGCGGAGGTCGAGGGGGTAAACAACGCGGCGGTTGAAGTGGATGCCGAGATCATCCTCGAGGATCCCGACCTCGTCTCCTGAGGGTTTTTATTATTATTGTTTTGACGGCCTGTGCGCCTTGATATTTTTGTTGGGTTCGCTAGTACCGTACGGGCTGTACGCAGCGGAATTTAAAATTTTTAAAGTAAGTATTTATCGTATAAATACAACACCCGTACATACTAATTGCGAATTAACTGATCGTCATCTTTAAAACATGCATCATATACAAATTTTGATTTGTTACTATAAAGTAAATACTAGTAAAAATATTTACCGAATGTCTTGAACTCCTTCACTATTGATGATGGATGAGGGAATCGGTTCCCGGTTGTAACTTCAACGACTTGAGGTTACTCGCTAGAGGAATCCAAGTGTCTTCCCTCTAAACGTATCCACCCTATGAAGCC